GCCTACCTGAGTTCATAATTTTATTGGCGTTCCCACCATTGCGATGGGTATCTAATGTGTATTATGTGCCCTCAAGCGTTCTGCACCATTATTGGAGGCAAGGTTTCCCGCCACTGTAGCTATTGTGCCAATCTCATCACTAACAGATTTTCAATCTCGCATTATCGTTTGGTGCGTTTGTAACTGAACAGGGATTTGGACTAACACTGGGGAGTTCATGCGTTCTTCTCTCCTGGTTATTTAAAGGTCACAGACATCTGACGCAGCTCTCAGTTCACGTGGTTAATGCTCCGTGAGAATTTTGGTCTTGTTGAAACCCATAGGTGATGTCAATTTCCATATCACAACTTTTTCCACTGAACCAAATGTTCGGTAAAAACGTTCACCGTGATCATAATGCAAATGAAGTAATGGGAGATTAAATGGGTTTACATGGGACTGTTAAAATGTTACGGGGAGAGTCAACGTATCCATTTCTCCTTACATTCAAAGTATCATGCTACAGATGATGATACTGAACATCAATATGCCAATGTACGGCAAAAAATATGTTGAAAGCCGTGGCGTATGATACGGAATGCCTTTGTGGCAATTAACTCCGTGAAATGAGCCAAGAACATCCAGAATGCGATCAGCTAATTGTTTTGCCGCCTGTTTTTATTGCTGTGTAAACTAGAAAGACAGAAAAGCGAGCAGCAGACAAGAGCATTTGACGTACGCGTCTTAAGATGAGCATATATTTTTAAGCAAAGCAACTAAAATAAAAATAATCAAGTCTGATGGGAAGAATGCATCCATCTCTAAATTTCGTTATTAAGAGTTGAGGCATGTAGTATAAACGTAACCGTCAAATGACGTAAATCAGTTTGCAAATTTTAGTAAAAAGGGTTTCAATATGAAAGGGTAATAAGATATTTGAGAGCAGCGTAATTCTAATCTGCCAGAAAGATAATGCCTAATTGTGCATTGTTGATATTTTCAGGAATGGGAGAAAGTCGTAGTCAAACCAGGCCTTAGACTACGTTGTGGTTATCAAGCAGACGATCGTTTTCCAACGACCATGGTCTAAGCCATCTCCCCGAAACCGTAAATTAGTTTGTAATGGGGTGGCTAGCAACTACTAGTCAGCATACTCAAGCCATGGGCAGTCGTTGAAAGATTTCAGCTCATCAGTGGGAATAAAAGTATGAGAACACGGCATGGAACCGTGGCGCACTGCGTAGTTACTAGGTTGAAGAATAGATGTCTGCTTGTCCGGCTGGACGTACTAAGTGTAGACGGAAAAGTAATCTTTGAGCCAAGAGATGAACGCACGCGGGGCTAACTTTGATTGGCCAGTGCTATTATAAAAAAATCTTCCGTCTACCGCTTCTCCAACTCCGTTTTGCCTATTGCTGTCTTTTAAATGCGCTATTCTGACCTTTGCACACCCACGCTTTCTGACAGCATTTCACTGAGTCGGTAGCTAAATATACTCTAGCGCTCCGTCTGTTTCTTTGCGCGCATGTTCAGTCTCGTTGGGTAGGCGTCAGGTATATCTGTCATTGCAAATGCAGTTAGGCGTCACCTGCTTGGCAATCAGAACTAGCGCGCTGTGAAAAAGGACCTCCGGCTCGATACAAACCGCACATAACACATCACGCAGTGGGTTGGTGCATA